GGCCGATGATGAGCGTTCGGGACAGCCAAAAACTGCGATAACATCAAAAATGTTCACCAAATGATACTGGACGCCCGTCGAATCAAGATTAGAGAGATAGCAGAGGCTATGGGCATATCGAAAGAACGCATTTATTATATATTGACTGAAAAATTGGATATGCGCAAGCTATCCGCGCGTTGGGTGTCGCGCTTGCTCACTTTGGACCAAAAACGAATTCGAATGAACATTTTCGAATGAACAAGGCTCTGTTGGAGCGATTCAAGCGAAACGAGTCAGATTTTTTGCGTCGATTCATAACTGTAGATGAAACTTGGATCCACCACTCCAGAGACAAAAGAACAGTCAAAACAGTGGCCTGCAAAGGGTGAACCTCCTCCGAAAAAGGTGAAGACGGTTCCATCAACTGGGAAGGTAATGGCGACTGTTTTTTGAGATAGTCATAGTAGAATTGTGTGTATCGACTATCTTGAAAAAGGTAAAACAATAACGGGAGCGTGTTATGTATCATTATTTGATAAGCTGAAGACAGAAATTGCAAAAAAAAACGGCCGCATTTGAAGAAGAAGAAAGTGCTGTTTCATCAAGACACCTGCTCACACTTCGGCGGTCACCATAGCTAAAATTCACGAACTGCACTTCGAATTGATTGACCACCCACCGTATTCACCAGATCTGGCTCCCAGCGACTTTTTCCTGTTTCCCAAGTAAGCTTAGGAAGCTAAGCTTAAAGTTTCGCTTGGAGGACAGAGATTTTCATCGAACAAGGAGATCATTACATACGTAAACGCCTATTTTGCGGAGCAAGACGCCAACTACTATTTGGAGGAGTTAAAGAGGTTAGAGTATCGATGGAAAAAGTGTATCGACTTAAAAGGAGAATGTTGAAAAATAAAACTATATTTGACCGAAAAAATACTTGTTTCTATGTTAGGCTCAAAACTTTTCAGACTACCCTCGTATGTATGTATATTTTATTTTATTCTACTAGTCAATTTAATACAGGAAATTACCTATTTTGTATATTAAAAGCATTAACAATAGTGTTTTTAATATTCAAAATAATTACTCACTACTTTCTAGTATTTAAATTTTTATAAGGGTTATAATAATATAATAATAATGCTGTTGTTTTTACCAGTTTGTGCGCATAAGTCGCTGCTTTCCTCTATCCAACGTTTAATCTCTGCTAGAGCATCTTTCCTAATGTCATCAGTCTCGTTTAAATGCGTCTTTGCATAAATTTTCTGTTCACTCGTTAGCTCCCAACACTGATGCGCACTCGCCATAATAACAATGAGCATGCAACTTGTGTCTTCTAATCGCAAAAGTATACTGTCAGCCAGGAACAGTGATGAGAATTTCAAGATGAGAGTCACCAGAGAGTAAAGGAGTAGGGATGACGCACACAACGAGAAAGCATGTCCATGAGAACTCGAAAGTTCGGCCGGCGTTGGGTAATAGATAGAGACTAACAAGTTTGGTCCTGTCTCTTTCGCTCTTTATTCTCAGCTTTTTTTTTAACGTGTAGAAATGCTTTTTTTTAACGTGTAGAAATGCTCTTTACGCATTGCGACTTCCTCGGGCATAAAAGACTTGTCCGAGGAGAGTCAGACTGATCCCATATCCACCAAAGTCAGACTGATTCCATACCCACTAAAACCGGACACACGGTATCCTTACCGGCCATATAGCGAGACACTCGGGAACGACCATCGGCATACTTTTACCCTGCTGGCCCGGGTTAGCCAACACTACTCCCACTTGAGTGGTGGGGCGAGGACACCAGTCCCACTCTTTCTTGATAGGTGGGGAGGGGGGAGTTTTACCTCTCACCCCTCTTCATCCGCGCCACTATAGATTGTGGTGCGGACGACGCCTATTCTCACAGTTAGCCTGCTCATTCGATGATTCTGACTTCTAACCATTGAAACGATCGTGCTTTATAGGCTACGCTTTAGCACTTACAGCTGTAAGCATTATATCAGTAATATTGACATATAATGTTCGTCATATTAAAAAAAAAAAATAGAAATTATATCTGTAATTAGAAAATAATAAAGAATAAATACAATAGAAGATAGAAAAATTTAGAGAAAAAAATAAGAGATTTTATTATATTTTTTTATATTTTTGTATTTTTTTTGTATTTTTTTTGTATTTTTTATATTTTTTAATTTTATTTTTTATTATATTTTTTACACATTTATCTTTGTAACAAGTGCGATATGTTCATATTGAAACAAGATAAAGTCTTGTGCAGATGCAATGTTCTTTATAGATATCGTATATTGTTTATTTAAGTTTAACTTAATGCTTTAATGCATTTGATGAAACACAGATAATTATCCTTTTTATATATTATTATTGCATATTAGAAGAAGATGGGCTAGCAATATCGTTTACAGCATGTAGCTAAAAACTTTTTTTCTGCTTTACCGGAGAAGTAACATATAATTTATTTGTCAACATAAGAGATAAATGCTTTTCATCGAGCTTCATGTTTAGAGTAGGTTTGTTTCTTGTTTTTAATGCTAACTTCAATATACAAATGGCATTTACAGTCGATGATAATCTGTTTCGTTTTTTGTTTTAACATATGTTAAGAAGGAAAATATTCTTTCCGAATCTGCATTTGAATTTGAGAGTGCTCTAATAGAATTCAAGAGGGATCTTAAATTGGGATATTTGGTTTTATTATTTAAATATTGTCTTTGTAAAATCTGCTTCCACATATTATCAAAATTTAATTTTAACAAATCTTGTTTTTCTGTTACTAAAAAATCTGAATTTAATTTAAACCATTTTTTCTTTAAACCATTCTTTCCATTTTCGTTAAGATTACCTCTTGCAATGATAAAAGGAAGATCATGAAATGATGTCAGTACTTAATAAAGCTATATGTGGTAAAAGAATTAGTAATTTTGATAAAAACATATCACTTACTAGTAATCTTTTAGAAATTTCTTTGGCTACAATTATATGAAATCGCAAACAGTTCTTTCGAACAGTTATAACTATGTTTGCCCATCCTCTATCAATTGATAAAGAAATTCTTCGCACTCCGATCTTAAAAAAATAGACTCCGATCCATTTAAAGATTTTGATTTTCTACCTTACAAAATATTGTATTTGGAAAATGTTTTAAAATTTCTGATTTTATAAACTTTATATAAATTTCTTTTAAAAAATCAATTAATTTTGACCGTAACAGATGTATCGTTTCCTCAACTTGGAAAAATGCATTAAATATATTAAAAGAATGTAAAATATATTTTAAAAATAGCAAATATGCCCATATGCTTTCGTATCTACATTTTATGACATGCAATAAATTTTCTGCAGATATATTTTTCTCACTCACGATCATTTCATTCAAAAAATTATCGTGTTCCAAGATTGAAGAAGTCTTTCGCGTGGTGAGAAAGCCATCGTGTATTACATAATTTTACAATTTTGTGAGTCTCTTCTTCAAAATATTCACTTAATTCAGTGAAAATAGACTATCGCTTGGGACTATAAGTTATATAGCTTGTAATTTTTTTCAAGAATTCCTCACAAACTTGAAATATTTTAGCACACACGGCATGCGAACTTAATGAAACAGAATGGCATGGACATGATAATGTCAATACATTATTGCACATCTCTTCCTATTTTTTCTTGAAATGTTTTCTGACCATAACGGACGCATGAAAAGGCAACAATATTTGAAAAAGATATTTGTAGTTTCCATATTTCATATTTAAATGCATTAAATAATTTTTCACTGCAATCTGTTGCATTAATTAATTTTACTAGTTGCGAATGAACTTCTAATGTTTCAATATGAACATATCAAATGTGAAATGTCATCCATATAAAATTCCGTTCTTTATTTCCGTTATTGTCACTGACGTTACATTCTTAATTACGGCATTTTTTTGCGATTGTTGCGTAACCTTTGCGATTTGATGAATTTCTTTCGACACTCGAAATTTACTGTATGCTAATTCTGACTTTTTACTTTTCATCAAGACTGCTTTTTCAAAAATCTCCATGACTTTAAATAAAATTTCTCTTGGGACTCAACTTATTCTCGCCTGCAAACGACGAATAATTGTTAATTCAGCTTTACTAAATGATGACTATGCATCAATTGCGAAGATGTTTGCCAATTCTTGTGAATGCGATCTTGTCACCGATCTAGATATCTTTATATATTTTTTGTCACTTTTTTGAATTATTTACTGAAGAAGGCTCAGCTCGAAACGTTTAAGTTAATTATTAAGGTAAAATGTACTATTCAATAGCGATCAAGTTTATTGTTTCAATATATAAGTTAATTCTTTAAATGTAATTTTTTATTCTTCGCTCGTTTTTTTGTCTTATTTCTCTCAACTTGTTATACATTTTACGAGCTTTGACATATCATTTATTTTTAAAAAGCTTTTTATAAATAAACTTATTTGTGCTATAAAAGATATATTAATTTCATCATTAGTAAAATAATTAAAAATTATTTTTCTAAAATAAGAGATAGAAAAAATAACAGACATTATTTTTCAAAATTGTTTAGTAATAACAATGTCACATTTAAATATTTGCAAAACAGAATTTGCTCAATTTCTGTTGTTAATTTGCCAACAAGTTATATTAGCAGACTCTATTCGATTTCTGCTGTATTTTTTTCGTCACATCGTGACGGCACGCTGTGCACAATTTCTGCCGCGTTTCTGCCGACACGGCTGATAAAGCAGATCGCGCCATATATCTGCCGCAATTTTGCCATCGTTGTAACAGCACACTGTATTTGATTTCTACTGCATTTCTGCTGCCAGTAGTCTGATATGGCAAACTTTGCACGATATCTGCTGTATATCTGTTGCCATAATAAGATAGCAAGCAATGCTCGATTTTTATCGCATTTTTATCATTATTCTATAATGAGGAGGTATTCCGCAAACAACTTAATTGATTAAGCTTAATTGAAAAGCAGCAGCTTGAAATCTGTTGCAGCTTGAAGTCATGATCGGATCTGCTGACACAGGCTGGCATACCGTTGGCATTTTACTATCTGGATACTTTCCAGGATTCTGTACTCTCTTACCGACAATTATCGATATTGTTAACTAACGATAGCCAATGACGGCCGCGCTTTTTTCCAAGATCGTCCTTGCCATTGGCTGTCGTTAGTTAATGGCATTAGTTAATCGACACCGACGGTTATCGATGAACACGTACAGAATCTCGGCCCAGAACCGGATAAATTCAAACCTGAGAGATTCCTTGAGGAAAGTAAAGAAGAAGATAACCTTATCCGTCCATTTGGCTTAGGCCCGAGAATGTGCATTGACAATAGGTTTATTTGCGTTATTGGAAACAAAAACTATGTTTTTTTATCTTCTGATTCGGCATTGCCAGCTAAAACCGGGCGAGAAGACTTCGTCATCATCAAAGTTACAGAAAGGCGGATTCTCAATACGGCTTGAAAATGATTTCTGGTTAAGCATTCTACCGAGAAAAGCAGCATCTTGTTATGAACAGAAATTAAACATATCAGATATAAGATAATTTAAAAATAAGAATGCAGTTGATTAGTAGAAGTATTTAACTTAACATAGTTTATAAATATATATGTAGAAATCATGAACTAATTTTATATCATATTGCTAATCTAGAAAAAAAGATAATAACGATTATAATATATATTGTATAACACACACACACACACACACACACACACACACACACACACACACACACACACACACACACACACACACACATACATGTATATAAATAATAATGATAAAAAACTAAGCACGTGAAATTCTATGAATTATTTTAACAATACAAGTGTCTGAAATCTAATAGAATTTTTTAACAAGCGACTGGTCATCAAGATCAATAAATAAACAATTTAATGCAATTTTGTAATTTTTCTACCAAATTAATGTTAATTAAAATAAATCACATTAATAAGTAAGTAAAAAAGTAAATAAATAACATAGTAAATAGAATTAAAAATAATAAATAAACTGTAACTGAAAAAATTTAGTATCCTCTATTTTAATTTTAAAAATTTATCATATTAATAACAATGAGGATATTTACGATTAAATTACGGAGAAACATCCATTAACTCCACTTACGTAAGCGATAACGAATAGTATATTAGAGAGAATACGCCAGAGTGCAGCAGTCGACCGTTAGGTTTCACCATGTAACGTTGTATAAAATAATAGCAGGATTTCGCTTTTCATAAACTTGTATTCCGATTTAGTGGAATAATAGTGATAAATATATTAACATGATATACATAATCGCTTTGTCGGTGATAGCGGGTGTTCTAGGTTTTTACTATTACTTTTTTAAAGATTTAAATTACTTTAAGAAACATGGCATATTGCATAAGCCACCTTTTCCTATATTGGGAAATATGGGACCGTCAGTTCTCCGTCTCCAATCGGTAGCCGAACTCGTCAAGGACATTTACAATCTACATTCTGAAGCAAAATACGTCGGTATGTTTGATATGACTAACCCACTTATAATGGTGCGCGATCCCGAGCTTATTAAATCCATTACGTTGAAACACTTCGATATGTTCCCGGATCATCGCAGCTTCGTGGACGAAACGCAAGACCCGTTATTTGGCAAAAATCTTTTTTCAATTCGCGGAGAGAGATGGCGGCAAGTACGATCTTTATTGAGTCCAGCCTTCACATCTAGCAAAATGAAAAGTATGTTTAAGTTAATGTCAGAATGTGCCGACGATTTTGCCACCTTCTTAGCGCAATTGCCACCAGAACAAAGGATGATACAAGTAAAAGACGTTTTTACCAGATATACTAACGACGTAATCGCTACTTGTGCTTTTGGCATCACTGTTGATTCCATGAGAAATCCAAAAAATCAATTTTACATATATGGCAAAGAGGCGACCACTTTCAACAGTATTGCCTTAATAAAATTATATATATTCAGAAGTTTGCCTACGCTGGCACGATTAATAAATTTGAAAATTGTCCGTCAGAAAATAGCAGATTTCTTCCGAGATCTTGTGGAAACTACTATAAAAACTAGGGATGAGAATAGTATTGTTCGACCTGATATGTTGCAATTGATGATGGAAAACAGAGGTAAAGAGGGCAAGCCAGAATTAAGTATCGAAGATATGGTATCGCAGGCGTTTATCTTTTTCTTTGGTGGTTTCGACAGTACTTCAACACTAATGTGTTTTGCTGCTCACGAAATCGCAGTGAATCCAGATATACAAAAAAGACTTCAAGATGAAATCGATCGAATCTTGGAAGAAAACAATGGAGAAGCACCTTACGAAGCTGTTAATGGTATGGAATATTTAGATGCTGTGATCTGCGAAGCTCTCCGAATGTATCCGGTTGCCGTGGCAATGGACAGATTATGCGAAAAAGATTTTGAGTTACCGCCGGCATTACCGGGAATGAAGCCTTTTACAATAAAGAAAGGACAGGGTATATGGATACCTATTTATGGACTTCAACATGATCCTAAATATTTCGAAGAACCGGAAAAGTTTGATCCCGAGCGATTTCTTGGTGAAAAGAGGAAACACAGTCTCAACTGCGGAGCTTACATTCCTTTCGGTCTTGGTCCTAGAATGTGCATAGGTAACAGATTTGCATTGCTAGAAACGAAAGTTCTACTCTTTTATCTACTAGCCCGTTGCGATCTGAAAGTTTGCGAAAAAACACCGATACCGATCAAGATCGCTAAAGATGGGTTCAATATGAAACCTGAAGGTGGTTTTTGGCTGAATGTGGAACCAAGAGAAAACATACATCATACCCTTTCAACTAAATTAGTCAATGGAACATGTTAAACGTAAGTAAATTGATTGGTTTTTATGTATATTGATTGGTAATTTATTTTTTTTTATTATTTCTTGATAATTTAGTAATAAAAGATATTTCAATATATTTTAATATTTTTTTGCTATTTTAATGATTAATAACAGTTTAGTAATACACTTAATCATATAATTTAAAATCAAAATTTAATATTTAAATATATTATTAATATAATATAAGGTAATAAAAATTTTTATAAAATCTTTATAAAAGTCGAATCTATCTGAAATATAATTATACTATAGTTTTTGTATAATATGTAGTATTAATTTAATTTCAGATAAAACGGAAAACAACAAACTTATGATGAACCAAGATATTTTTTTATAAATTCCCGGAAAGAAAATGTTTACTGCAAGAACTAAAAATTATCACCAGGAATATTTCGATTGAATACTGTCATTTTATCTTTTATATATTTCTAAAAAAACAGTAAAAGAAGAAAGCATAAATGAAAAATTAGCGAATTAAATTTTATTTCTTATCTTGTTTATCCATATTGTAATTTTTTCATAATAATCGTGCAATTATTATTTAGTGTAGTAATTACTTATACTTTTCCATTGTGTTTCGATTTCTGAAAAAAATATTTCATATTGGGTAAAAGTTTATCGAATAAAGATAAAAAGGCTTTTAAAAAATTACTAAGACAAATAATATAACTGTATATAATCAGAAATAAAATCTAAATGCACATATAAAATAGAAAAATATTATATAAGAAAATGATATAATAGAAAAAATTGTAAGGCTTAATTAATCATTTCAGTACAGAATAATATTTTAATAATTCATTAATGCATATATAATATATATATAAAATATATATAAAATATATTATTATAAATATATAATATTTTTAATTTTTATCTGTTTAATTTGCTTTATATACTTTGATTTCATTGAATCAATATCTAAAAATAACTTGATGCGTTATGTCATACTGCGCAACAATCCTTCCACATCTCGCATATAATAGAAAGATTACTTGCAGCAACACTAGTCAATTATCTTAATGTATTGATTCCGCTCGTAGACAGTAATACTCTATTCTAATATTTAAATATTACTGTGTTTATGCGCATTACATGTTTTTATAAGTTCAGTTTAATCGCGTTAGCAATTATCAATATGATATACATAATCATTTTATCAATGATAGTAGGCTCTCTGGGCCTTTATTATTATCTTTTTAAAGATTTTAATTTTTTCAAAAAACATGGAATACCATATATAAAACTTTTACTATTACTAGGAAATGGGATTCACTCATCCGCCGCCAATCCATAGCTAAGCTTTCAAATTAATATACTATATACATCCTGATGCCAAGTATGTCGGCATGATTTAAATCACTCGTAATGATTCGCGATCCCGAACTTATTAAATCCATGTTAAAACATTTCGATATGTTCATGAATCATAGTAGTTTCTTCAATGAAACCCAGGGTCCATTTTTCGCCAAAAATCTCATTTCTGTCTATCGCTGTTCGTGATAGATAGAGATGCGATTTATATTGAGCCCGGCTTTCACGTTTAGTAAAATGAAAAGTATGTTCAAGTTAATGTCGAATTATGATATCGATTTTAGCAAGTATTTGGCACAATTATCAGCGGAGAGGAGGAAAATGGAAATGAAAGACGTCTTTATGACATATGCAAATGACGTAATCGCTACTTGCGCTTTTGGCGTTTGTAGACTCAATGAGAAATCCAAATAATGAATTCTATGTTTACGGCAAGAAAGTGACTACTTTCGGCATTCTGCTTGTTTCACACATTTACAATTTTACCTTGGCTGGCATGAATACTTAAGTTGAAACTTTTTCGTAAAAAAATAGCCAATTTTTTTAGAGATTTTATCGAAATCATATAAAAATCATATAAAAATTAGAGAAGGTATCGTTTGATCAGACATGTTGCAATTGATGATGGAGAGCAGAAGTAAAAATGGCAGGACGGATTAAACTAACTAACTATCGGTATGATAGCACAAACATTCACCTTCTTCTTTGGAGGCTTCGATTCCAACTCGATGTTAATGTGTTTTGCTGCTCATAAAATTGCAGTGAATTAGGATGTACAAAAAAAACTTCAAAATGAAATCGATTAAGTTTTGAAGAATAATGATGGACAAGTACTTTAAGTATAGCGGTTAATAGCATGGAATATCTGGATGCAATCATGCAGTAAACATTAATGAACATAAATACCTAAAAAAAATAATTATTCCATATTCTGCTATAAAAATTAATGCAAATCTTCTCCTAAAATATTCAATATTAAACCCAGATACCAATTCCGATTTACCTTCAATAAAATCTATTAGCCTTCGATTTATCTCAGTTAAAATTTAAAAAAAAACATTAAAAATACAGGAAATATAGAAAATATAGGAAATATAGGAAATATAGAAAATAAAAATCAACCACCTATACCTTGTCAAACATCAAAATCTTTTAAAAAATATCCCTTAATTAAAATTAATATAATCAAAATAATTATAATTAATTTAACTTCATATGATAATGAGCAACAACTCGTATTGATCCTATTATAGAATATGAAGAATTAGAAGACCATCCAATTATTATATAAATATATTATCAATCTTAAAATAATAAATATTATTAAACTGAATAATTTATATAATAAAAAGGAAGTAATCAATAAGACTCTCAGAATATATCCAGGTGACCTGACATTGAATAGAATATGCGTCAAAGATTTTGAATTGCCTTCAACATTACCAGGGATGAAATCTTTTATTATAAAGAAAGGACAAGGCATACCAGTTTATGGACTTTATCATGATTCTAAATATTTCGAAAAACCGGAGAAATTTGATCCTAAGCGGTTTCTTAGTAAGCGCAAAAAACATACTCTAAACTGTGGAGCTTCCTTTCCTTTCGGTTTAGGTCCAAGGATGAGCATAGGTAACATATTCGTATTGTTGGAAAGTTTTGCTGTTTCAAATGAAATGAAAAATTACAAGATAAACATGAAGTAGAATATTTCCTTCAAGACTATAATAAAAAAAAATATGATCGCAAGTCAAGAACAAACAATATATTTGCATCATATTTGTGCTAAAATTAAATATAGTCATTTTAATTTCTACATATTTTTAAGAAAATGGTGAAAGACAAGAATAAAGAGATTATCAGAATATCGTTTTTTATCTTGCTTTGTTATTATAACTTTATAATGTGACTTAATCATGGTAAAATAACTGTACGATTATTATATTAAATTTAGTAATATCATATATATCCTAATTATTTTTTTTATCTTTATTTTTTATATTGGGATTAAAATTTATTGTCAAGATAAAAATATTTTTATATACCGATAAATTGATTTTATATATATAT